CCCCCCCCCCCCCCTATGTCCGAGTTTGTCCTGATTTTCCAAACCCCCCTCCCCTCGGACATCCTTTGTGACTGGCTCCTTACCTAAAAAGTGTGTTCATCTTTTAGAATATCTAATTCAAAAACAGAACTTCTCCAAACTGAAGAATCTAATTTTAATTGGTGGGCCACAAGATGGCGTTATAACACCATGGCAGTCCGCGTAAGTTCATTTCTGCGAAGACAACTTGTACTTTGAAAGCCACAAATCAAAAAACTGGCAAAAGGCCTTTACGTGCATGTGCACTGGTCTTTATTAGAACACTCACATGTAACATTACTATACGATATTAGACATGCAGTTGTACGAGGATTTGAATCAGTTTTCTGTAAAACTATTTTAGACAGTTTGGTTTCTATGACGCGAAGCTCAATGTTGTAGCGATGAAAAAACAGAAGGTACTCTCACAAATCTTACTAAGGGTTTTTAAACCATGCAGGTCGTACAGGAGGGGGGCAGTAAGAAATTAGGGGGGGGGAGTAAGAAATTTGCCCGACTAACCAAAAAATATTTCCTTCTACCAAATTTCGTCTTGATGGGTGGGGGGTGGCCAAATTTTCGAAAAGCTTATCTGGGGCACATCCGTAGGCTTATGGTTACAGCTGATTAATATAAAATGGAGTGTACTCGCATGTTGGGTGGTTGAAACTTAACAACTCACTAACACACTAACACGTGCTTTTTTACTTTAATTTGTATTCGCTCCAGACATACGTCGAAGATTGGTTTGGTTTGGGTACGCTTGGAAAAAGAGATGCAATACATTCATATACCTTTGAAAATATCACTCATACGTCCTGGCATGGATCTGAAATTGTTTTTAACAAGGCAATTAAGCCGTGGTTGACTTGAAAAACAATGTACAGGTTTTTTTAACTTCTTGGTTGCAGAAAGTTTTATCAATGCATGCATTCAATGATGTAAATGTTCTTAAATATAAATGTTTATCGACCCTTTATTTCAAATTTCCTTCAAAGTATTGCATGAACTAGCAAAGTTTGGTCAAACCGCAATGTTAAATCAAGATTTACAATATCGTTATATTTTATTATTCTCAAAGTAAGTAATGCCAATGGGAAGTGTAGATTTTTACTTTGTTATGAGTGAAGATGTTTCTGAAATATTAAAAGGTGTTTTCCCAATTGAGCTCTTCACAATTTTCTGAGCGAGAAAACAGGGCTGTGGTGAATTAGCTAGACTTCGGCAATCGTATCGAATATTTGAAAACAAAACTAAAACATTTAAAAATACATTAAACTGAGCCCGTTCACAGGTTCTTAATTACTTTTTCTCCACCAGTGTTTGTCCTTAGTATCAAAATATGGATTGGACTTTGAAAGATTTCGTTGTCCAAGATCAAATGACAACGGGCATCTACCAGTAGATATAGTATGAGAATTATTTAGTATATTCAATTAATCGATTACCATTGTGTATGAACCGATGGTGGCAACTGAACATCTAAGAATTCTCTTCAACAAATCTGAGCAATCAGACCAACACAACTTTTCGAGAGTTAAAAAAAATTAAGGAATATAAACACATGGTTCAGTTCTTATATAAATCAACACAATATTTGCAATAAATAATATTAAAATAATATTTTACAATGAGGAGTTTTGGTGAAGCCGGTGCGGGTGCAAAATTAAGTGCAGTAAAATGGTGCTCGACTTCGCTGATTCGTGTTCAAAGTCTTTATAGTTTTCAAGACCAGACGACAGTGTTTATTGGACTGAATATTTGATGATATTTACAGACTTATAGACATTCTTATTTTGCCTTGCCTATATGTAAAGAGTCCAGCTCTTACACAGGAACAAATAATTACTTGGAACACAACAATTAACGGCCATTAGGAACCTCAAGAGCAAACTTTATGGCTACTAGAATCTTTAGAAAATATCCGGATTACATATTTTCAATAGGATCATTTAACAATATAGCCTAATTAAACTTTGGATTTTTTATAACCGATGGGTACAAATTATTTATACAAACCAGATTTGTTTGGCCATAAAGGTTCCTAAGAGCGGGTGATAACTATTACTGTCACAGGGTTAATATCTGTATTACATACGAAAAACTGAGCTAGTACCGTTCGTAATAACTGGAGTGATATTGCTGGATAGCGGTGGCAGGCTCGGTAGCGTCGCGATAGGTGTTTTCAGTATTGATTCATTATTCTGTAATGAATTATTATGTGGTGGTGATAGTGGCTTGGTTGGTGCTAGCGGGTCTCCGTTACTGCCCGGGGATTTGACTTTGGTGCCGGCAGAAGCACCCCCGGAACATTTCTTGTGTTTCATGCGTCGATTTTGGAACCAAATTTTCACTTGTCTTTCCGTGAGGTTGAGCTGCGCGGCGAGCTCGGCACGGCGTTCTTTTGTTAAGAAATGATTGAAGTGGAATTCTTTCTCAAGTTCTAGAAGTTGTTTCCGAGTGTAAGCTGTCCTTTTTCTCTTTCCTTCCGTTGGCCGAGAGCTCCACACGCTAGCTGGCGTTACTAAAAACAAAAAACACAGAAGGAATGTTAATTTTGTAAACACCAATTAGGTACAATAATATTGAGCCCCCTCAAGCAATTGTAATATTCCTTTGACCACTATTTTATCATATGTTCCGGCATGTTAAAACTGGAACTATTCCTTAACCGCGTGCAGTAAATGTGAAGCCAAAGTGAACATGTTTGATTGGCTTGTGCAAACAAAAGTGAGCAGTGTTCAACTCGTTCTTTAAAAAATCTATAGTTTCATTTTCTTTCATTGTCATAATCCTGGAAAAACGTTCCATATTGTTTCATGATGACCCTGTCTCTGCCCTTGGCTTGGCCCTTGGGTTTGGATAGGTGAATGTTATAACCGTTGGGGCGAGAAATCGTGTTTGGGCCTGCACGCGTGGATCACGTGTTATTTGATGGTTGTTGGTCAACTCCATGCCATGGGTTAACTCGATACACACTGGACAAGGGAAACACTATATATGAACCCGATAAATCAGTGCATACCATCTAAAATTACTGTCAATTGTTTTGAAGCAAGTATAACAGATATTTTATGTGAACTACTGAAGATCGATCCAATTCGATTCACCAACTTTAGGCTTTTTCCATAAATCATGTGGAATCTGTAAAGCCTAGTTCACACTATGAAAGTTTCTGTCACAGTATGAGGAATTTTGCATTGGTACAAATTATTTTTTGAAGAATTTGTAAGAAATGACTCGGTGTTTAACACAAGTCAGTTTTTGCTCAAACATTTCTTACAAATCCTTCAAAACATAGAATTTATACAGATGCAAAATTCCTACCGTGTTCACGGCAGAAACTTGTCTTTGATAGTGTAAACTATACTACGCTTAAGCCGTTTTGAAGCTTCACTATAAAGCAAGCTACAACGATTGAATTGAGTGCGAATCAGAATTGATCATTCCTTCCTCGAAATTCAAGTTAATACAAGGTCAATAGAACAATTTTCACAAAGAGTTTTGACATTTGAAGTGAACGGATGCCGCTTTTTATTCTATTGCTAAATTATATCCTACAGGGGAGTCCAGACACTAAAAATTATTGGTATACATAGTAACGTGAACGGAAAGCAACAAATCCTATTTCTGGCCTAGTTTTTGAAATGTGAAACGTTATATGGATATAAATATCACTGACACTGTTTTTAACAATCACATAAAATTTTCTTTCTCTTATCCTTGCTTATATTTTGCCTTAGACATGGAATTGTTAATTTAAACTATAAATGCCAGCCGGGTTAAGTCAGTTTGCCTTTTCGCTTAAATTTTGGCTCTGCTCTTAGCTGAATGAATGTTATATGGTCTTCACCTGTAGATCTGAACTTGAAGACTAGGAAAAAGTTCCGCCATTCACGAAAAGACGAAATTACACTCGTTTTTATGGTGAATCCTTCGCTTAATCGAAGTTTCTTCCTTTAATTACAGTGTTGATTCGGATTTTTGCTTGATTAAATTTTGGTTAGACGGTTATGTAACAAAATTTTCTTTTTTTGGATAAAACTTGCCGTAAGGTATATAAATAAGTATAAGTGTCGTAATGCTAATTCGTAACTCTCCCTTACGCTTACAGATGTTTCCAAATTCTAGAACATATTGTACATAAAATATTGTTGGCACAACGACTTTATTCACGTGCATGCAGCAGATATAAGATTTGTGGGGAGTTGGTTATCTCTGGTATGTGACCAAGATTCTATTCTTATATATGCAGTTGTTTGTCGCTTCAGTTACATGTGGGAAAAGTCAGCTTTCAATTTGACTCTACAAAACATCGCAGCTTTTTTCAAGGTACTCGGGTTTTCGTCTGCAGAAACACTGAACTAAAAATGGTTGGCTCGTACTGTCTCTTCTGCGCTATTTTGAATATTCTCGTAGATAGAAAAGTTAAAAACTAAAATTGGAAAGATTATCTACCCAAGGCCAAGTTGAGACCAATCACCAAAATGTTTTATGCGTTTTATGAACTTCAGCTTCGCTGAAAATCTACAAGAAATCCTCTAGACGAAGCGATATCAATCAGTTTACAACTAATCTTCATATTTTTTACCCAGTGAACTTTGAAAAATTTACAGACTTTGCATTGCGATTTTGTAAGGATAACTTGGCACTGAGATCTTGAATTATTTGCATATAAGTGGGCCTTGAGACGCGGTTTTACTCTGTCGAGGATTTTCAAATACGAATTTCTTTTGCCTTGCCAACGTATAGGGGCAGATCCGTTTGAGTAACTCGAATGTTCTTTGACTTTCTGTACACCTTTTTAGTAATTAGATCAAAATAAAAGTTCAATTTCTATTCTTCGATATTAATTTCTTAAAAACATCGGGGATATGAAATTTAATAAGAAACTGGTCCTACATGCACTTGAACTGCTGGCAGCTCGCGGTATACTAAGAAATTCTCACGTACAGTCATATACATCACTTGATCAAAGTCTTGGATTTCAACACATTCCCTTGGCATGCATGGAAGAGTAAAAAGTACAGTTAAGCACTGAAATCTTTGAATGCGTATGTGTCTGAATCTAAAATCACCGGAACAGCAGTCCAAAACAGTTTGAAATAAATTTTTGTTAGTTTAGGAGTATACTAGGCCATGATTTAGTCCCAATAGGCTTAGCTTAAGTAATAGTACTGCTTTGACCCAGTGGGGGTTAATATGTGAAAGCCTCGCCAATTTTGGCAATGTTCTTAGGCAAATATTTGGCATATAAATTTTTTACTTGCTTAGCTAACGAGCTCTATAGCGCTAAACCACAAGAGAAATTGTCAAGTAATCCTTCTACAAACAGTTTAAGCAACTACTAGTGTAAAACAACCTGATATCATGTATACCCGACTTATATTTGAGCCCCTACAAGGCCACAATACATAAACTGATAGTGGATCCATGCAATCCACGATGGAGCAAGTGAAGCATGGGATGGAATGAGCAATTATATCACAGTTATATGGGCGAGTAAACCCAATGAGGGCTCGCATTTGATGGCATAATAAATATTGACATTTCTCAAAAGGTCATCCGATATTATCTATCATTAGAGTAAATAACGTAACTTGATTAGACTTAAACGAAGCAAAGTGGGAATTATAGGAAATCAAAGGAGCACAGTCATAGATACCTGCTGTTATTCCAGTTGTCGGCCACCAGTGAGTTTCGCCGCTTTTAATCCAAGGATATTGAGGATAACCGGTCTCAGTTGGGTAGTACAAATGTTGGTTATCACTTGTGTTCACTCCAGGGGGATTTTGTACAGCAACAGTGGTTGGTCCAAAGTTTACGGTACCGTCAGGGCTTGGCGAAATAGCCGAGTTATAAACACTCGCTGAAGTCGAGGACGCTGTCATGTAACTTGGAACAGCACTTTGATGATTGCCAAAAAAAGTCGGTGTTGGTTGTTGCATTCTACACGGCGAGTAAGGAAAGTCCATATTTTGACCGCTTGTTCCTTCCTTGTAAGCGGCGAGACCCGAGTTAAAATGTGTGTAAAGATGTTGGGATTGCATTTTGCTCGGAGCTTCTTTGTTGTGCGGAGTTCGGCTAACAAGTGCTCAACACTGCAGTTATTTATAAATTATAAGTCGAGTATACTCATGAATAATGCAGTACGTCAAAGACCTTTGACAAGTGCCTTGTGGCGGCACAGCCGCCTGAAAAGACTTTGAGAATCTCAAACAGCAGATACAAGCTGAACGTCTAGGAGTTTTCTTGACTGTTACTTAACTTTAACCTTATTGCCATTAACCAAACTCGTTTTCTAATGATTGTATATGAAATGAATTCAAATCGTTTTCAAATGTTGTATACGTCCTAATCTATGTATATTTGCATATATTTTACACTTTAATTGCATAGAAATTATAAATGACAAAATTCAAAATTGTACAGCCGCTAAAATCCTCGCAAAACCCCGTGGAGATCCTAATAAGGTGAAAGTTTTAAAACCCTTTCTTTGAAACATACAGATTTTATCACAAATATTTACCAAGGCAGTTAAAAAACTCCCCCAATATATGCCCTAATCTCTGTATACATTTTATGCATATGTTTAACACTTTAATTGAATAGAAAGCTTAACCCTCTGTTCTCTTGGGACAAAAGACGTAGCGTTACTCCCATGCAGACGCGGTAAATGCGGTTTATTTCTAAAGAAAAGAACGCCCGACTTTTATCAGCTTGTTCATAATTTGGTCAAGACATGTACTCTAGGCCTAGGGGATATTTTTAATATTCTCTTAAATAATTAAACGAAATCTCTGTGTGTCCTTTTAGGTTCGGGAGCAATCTTTCGTCTATGTTCGTACAGTCTATAGATTGACAAACAATTGCAGATTACAAATCTGGATTCAAATGTTTGGCTCACGCACATACCAAATTAAGAAAAAAATATCCCTTTACTTAGAGATTTTCGATACAGAAAACGATTGTGTGAGAAGTGCAACCGGTGGCCCATGGGCTTAGGTTTAACAATATTTCGAACAGTTTTTCAAATAACGTGTGTGGGAATCCGAGTTATGAGAGCTCTTCAATTCAGGGATCATCCAAATATACGATAATCGCAAGATAATGTTCACATTTTCTTTAAGACTTTATACTTTAGCTTGCATATATCATGAAACTAAACCCAATTAACTCAAGACAACTAAGGCATAGATCTATATGGAATGAGAGAATCTTGACTCAGTATATAAAGCCACATTACGGGACGATTTCAGAATAGAACTTGAGCCCACGTTACCCATCGCTGGACGGTACATAACAAAGATTTTACATATAACCCCTGGGCTCAGACCTATATGACCTAGAGAGCCAGACTATACAAAATAAATTTATATCTTGGATTTATGGAATAAAACAATGCAGGTTATCATTATTCTTTTATTTCAGAATAGTCAATCCAATTGTGACACAAATTTCCACTTTTTTATAAAGAAATACGGTGAAATAGGATTATACAAAGTATAAGGATTTATCTGAATCTATCAATTCTGCACCCAGGAGTAAAAATGTCCTATAAACATTGGTCTTATAGAAGAATGTCAGTAAAAACAACCCAGGGCAAGCGGCGGGAAACTCTTTAGAAATTTACCCATTGAGCGCCACTCAACGAGAACCTCCATTGTTTCCTGGGCGGAGCATTTCTATTCACAATTGAAATCTTTGCAATTTGCAATGCTTAGAAATCTTTCCTGTCGGATTGAAAAACAGTCCGACTTTTATAGATTGTATATATAGAACAAACAAAAAGCTATCCCATAAACGTTTCTTCGCGACTTCGTGCTTGAAAAGGTTCAAACTTCTGATATTGGACATTGGTTAAATATGTCGCGTTGCGGCTAGATCAATTACTTTTACTTTTTTTTTCGTTATTTATACTTGGGTAGTTGCCATTTGGATGAATATCAACCCCAGTTTTGTATTTATTAACGCAAAAAAGTTATTTACACCAGGTTCTTTTTGCTGCAATTTTATACAATGCATGCAATTATACTGGGATGAACGATTTACCATGTATGGACGAACCCGCAAAAAAACAGTGAATCCGTCAACTCAGCGTATATCAGTATTAGGTGGTGAACCTACGTCCGTGGAGTAATACCAGGGCGTCTATAAGAATATATATAATTCTTATAGACGCCCTTGGCAATACGCAAGCTGTTCTCGCGACAACACTGCAGTGAGACATACTTTTAGCATAAAATGACTCAAGCTGCTGCGGCAAGTGCAATAAGCATCAGGGGCTCGTGTGCTTTAGCTCGTCTCCAGCCACAAAAACCAATGCCTTAAACTGATTATTAAGCAAATTATGTTTAAAGTTTGTTTGAACGATTTGACATGACAGTTTCAACTCATTAAAAGTGGCCCTTTACGAAACTAATGACGGTAGTAAAAAAAACAGAAATTAACTTTCGATCTCATGACTTCTCTAATGATGATTTGTAACAAAAACCAACACATTATGTCGATGATCAAATTAGTTTTTTTACTTCAAAAATCATACACGCGTTTTGTACCACTACAAATATTTCGTGTCTGGATTGTTTGCGTCACATGACCCAATATAAGGCTTAATGTCGTATTCACTTTGTACTAAAACCAAGCTATAAAAATTTCTATAAGAGAAAACGTGTTTGAAAAAATATTTCTTTCAGAAGTTTTAAAATCATCCTGTGATTCTCCACGGATATCTGCAATTTCTGAATGCCTTTTCAAATTTGTTGCCGGCCAACGTTGGAGCAAGTTAATTGTTTGGTTCTGTTTGTTTGCATTGAGACAAATTATAATGAACGCCATGCATTATTAGCAAAGGGAGAAAGCAAGTCACAATAGCTATATTCATATCAGGTTAATTAAGAGTGACCTGCTTGAAAGTCGGTAAACTTGGTGTGGCTTTTAATACAGTTTTAGGATCATATTTTAAGAAAACTGCTCCTAAAAACCTAAGGCTTTTGCGGTTACTTTCAAGATCCCGCGAGGTGGATAATTAGATTATCCAATCTCTTGTATTACCGTGCTATCTGAATGTAGGAAAGAATGATTTTTAATACATATAACATATGCAATAATATTGCATATGTTTCTTACACTGCTGATTATAAATTCCACATATTTAAATAACAGCTTGTGCATGCGTTTCATATGTGTTTTTCGCCAACACGCTTAATTTGCTTATACTCAGTGTGTTTATCTAGATTCAAGAGATACGATTTCTCGAACTTGCTTGCTTTCCGGCGTATTTTGCAATCTACACTCGTATTATCTCTGTGGTAGTAAATCTTGACTGTATCTACAGACGAGTCTCCGAGTTTTTGATAAAAAGTGCGGTCGCATTCATTTCCTATTCAAGTCAGTGATAGCTTTGTGTACGTGGAATATATTGATTGTTTGCACGCCAATTCACACCTATACTTTTGATTTGCAATCAAACTTTACTAAACTATATATATATTCAAATTTCAAAGATCCAAAAAGGCAGCTTATATATTTTCCAATAGATAGTCCATAGACTATAGTATTATTAAGTAAGCAACCTAAAATGTATATCTGATGATATAAATTTAAAATTGACGTGAGTGACGCAGGCTGCATGCAAATGGCGGAGCTGAGAAAATTATCTCACAAAGACGTTAATATTTTTATAGATGACTATATGTATATTTACAGCATTATATGATTTTCCCAAGTGATTGGATTTATAGGATTGAAGTGAAGTTTGTTAAGTGGTATCATAATCGAAGTATTAACGTTATATAGTCTAATGAGTTTCTTTGAATAGAAAGATGTAAAAGATTAAAGACAAGATATTTATATTTTCTCAGTTGATGTCAATAAATTACTTGCTCGAAACCTTAGTCTTTGGGAATAAGTTGATTGCTTTGGGGGGGTTAATAAATTTATACTTATCAACAAAAAACTTTATTGAACTTTTTTATTAGTTAGTCAAAAACAAGGTTAGGTTTTGCCCTAAACTTGATTTGAAATTACAGCGCCGGATTTGACATTTCATAGGTGAGCTACTCACAAAAAGAAGTAACGCAAAGGTGACCCAGTTTTTCGGCACTTTCGGGTATTTTTGGAGAATACTTTTTCGACATTTAGGCTTTAGACTGCAGTTATTTAAATTACTATATAAGTCATTCTCTATATATTTGTCTAATGAGAGCGGGACGATAGAGTGAGCGCATGAGCCATGAAGGCACCCGCTCCTCAATGAGAAGGCGTACAAGCCACTAACAGTAAAACAAGAGCTATCCACAGTGCCTGGGAGGGGGGCTTAAAAACTCTTAAGCAAACAAAAAATATTCGCCTGGAAGCGACTAAATTCCAGATGAAGAAGGCCGTCGCTCGAATCTTGGAGGTTTTTAACGATTATCAAACTCGAAAACTCTGGCTTGTCACGTGTTTTATGAATCACTATTATTTTTAACATCCCTCCATGTAAGATATTGTAAAAAATGACATGGAACATCGCTCCTAAACATAAATCAGCGCTCGAATTCTATTCATATGGTTTCGGAAATGCCAAAAATTTGATCTTTGCAACCGCATAAAAATATTTGAATTTCGCTGACGCAGTATTTCGAATGTACGCCACAAATCAGCTTGGTTACGTACGCAGCTTTTCTATGTTTATTATTATTGCAATCTGTAATTATCCTCTTGAGAGTAATTAGCGTTTCTTTTTAATTTTTCTCGCAGAGGGCGGGCCGTAACCCTTGACATCAAATCTCTGTATTGAAAATCAAAACAATGCCTTGTCTTCCTTTACTGAGTTGCGCTTCTATTGTGGCAGCTTTCCCAAAGGCGGGCCAATATTTCACGGAGAACCATAAAAACATATCCTGTGACCTGTGTGAGTACAAAAATAATTCCTCAAAGAGTTTAGTTTCACACGCATTTCTATTGCACCCTTTTTCTAGTGTGGACAAATATTCTTAAGTTGTCAAATTTATATTTCGAATAACTGAGAGCAATTTGAACTTCCCGAGGATATGAACAATCACTGCTAATTAATAGGCAATAAATGTAAAAAGTCTAATCCTTGTCTT